CATCATCATCATCATCATCAGCATCATCATCATCATCATCATCATCATCATCAGCAGCATCAACATCATCATCATCAGCATCATCATCATCATCATCATCAGCAGCATCATCATCATCATCAACATCATCAGTATCATCAACATCATCATCATCGTTCTCCTCCTCCTACTACTACTCCTACTCCGACTCCTACTCCTCCTCATTCCTCCTCCTGCTCCTCCTCCACCGCCTCCTCCCCCTCCGACTCCTCCTACTCCTGCCCTTCCTCCTCTTCCTCCTGTTCCTCCTCCTCCTCCTCCTCCTCCGCCTCCTCATCCGCCTCCGCCTCCGCCTCCACCGCCTCCGCCGCCCTCCTCCTCCGTCTCCTCATCCTTCTCATCATCCTCCGCCTCCTCCGCCTAATCCTCCTCATCCGCCTCTTCCTCCTCCTCCTCCTCCTCCTCCTCCTCCCTCTCTTCTCCTCCTCTTGCCTCCTCCTCCTCCTCCGTCTCCTCCTCCTCCTCCTCCTCCTCCTCCTCCTCCTCCTCCTCCTCCTCCTCCTCCTCCTCCTTCTCCTCCCCCTCCCCCCCCTACTGTTCCATCCCTTCCGTTATAACCCATTATGGTTCCTTGTAACGGACTCCTGTCTGTTGCACCCAGAGACGCGTCGGTAGCGCGGATTGAAGGTTCCGCGAGCGATTCCCTCACCATATACGATCCTGAAACTTCTTTTTTTAATATATATATATATATAAAAAAAAAAAAAAAAAAAAAAAAAAAAAAAAAAAAAAAAAAAAAAAAAAAAAAAAAAAAAAAAAAAAAAAAAAAAAAAAAAAAAAAACTTGCAAATGGAGGGCAGATGTTGTTTTTCAAAATCCTGTTAACACCTTAGCGCCGCGCACCATCGACTTGAAAGTTTGCAAGAGCTTCACGGATGGAGGGCGGGTGGATTTCAAAATGTGGCTCTCGCCCTAGCGCTGCGCATATCCGTCTTAAAAGTTTAGTGCAGTTACGACGAGTAGTATGGCTGACGTCCTAGAAATGGTGTTCTGCAACGGCGTAGGATTGCCAGGGCGCAGCAATCATGTTGATTCACGATGTTAAATCAAAAAATGGTGTTCTGGCACAGTGCAGGATGGTCAGGACGCAGCAGTGACTTTCAGTGGCGGCGTTGACGATCCCAGGATGTTGCATTCGCACGGTTGCGGAGTTTCAGACGATTGTCTTCCAACGGGGCACTTCCCTCAGTGAAACAAGTCCTGGTAGGTACATATGAGGAAACTTGGAGGGATGGATCATTCCTCCTCCTCCTCCACCTCCTCCTCCTCATCCTCCACCCCCTCCTCCTGCTCCGCTTCCTTAAATCGATTGGGCCGTCCGGTGCGCTCCACGAGAGGCATGGAGCACAGAAGTCACCGCTCGCGAGTTGTTGTTGTTTCGTCTCCTCGTCGTGGTCGTCCTCCGCCTCCTCCCCCTCATCAGCATCATCATCATCATCATCATCATCATCATCATCATCATCATCATCATCATCATCATCATCATCATCAGCATCATCATCATCATCATCATCATCATCATCATCATCATCATCTGCATCATCGTCATCGTCATCGTCATCATCGTCATCACCACCGTCATCATCATCATCATCATCATCGTCATCATCATCATCATCATCATCATCATCATAATCATCATCATCACCATCATCAGAATCATAATCAGCATGATCATCATCATTATCAGCATCAGCATCAGCATCACCATCATCATCATCATTATCATCATCATCAGCATCATCATCATCAGCATCATCATCAGTCTCATCGTAAGCATCCGCATCATCATCATCATCATCATCATCATCACCATCATCATCATCATCAGCAGCAGCAGCATCATCATCAGCATCATCATAAGCATCAATCACCATCATCATCATCATCATTTTCATCATCATCATCATCCTCATCATCATCATCATCCTCATCAGCGTCATCATCATCACCATCATCATCATCCCGATCCTCCTCCGCCTCAGCCTCGGGGTGCCACGCCGCATACTACGCAGAGCCCCCCCCAGGTAAGACCCGCGTGTGTCATGGGATCTAGTAGGAATCGAACACCAACCTGGGACTTAGGCAGATATTCTGTTCGTCGGCGTCGAGGAAGAAGCAGTCCACACCAGCGTGGGGCGAATCGGGCCTAGACACAGATACACAACAGCCACAAACACCCCGAGCACTGAGACCCCAAAACCAGACCGCCCACCACCACCACTACCACCACCGAAACGCACAATTCACGATTTGTGCGCGTCGTTGTTGCGCTAGGACTCACCAGACAGCTCCGGCTGCAAGAACGTGGGGGGGGGGGGGGGGCTTTTCCTGCCGCTCAGGGCGGCTGGTCGGGCACCAGTGGTGGTGTGGGGTCCTCCAAGCGGGGCCATCCAAAAGATCGAAAATATCCAAAGATACAACTATACAACCGTCAGTCGCCCACGCGGTCGACCTTCGGAGGATCGCCGCACGGCTCCGACAGCCACCAACAAACGCAAGACTAACACAACCCCAATGAAACGCCCACTTTCGCGAGACTTCCTGAAGAGCACTGATCCGCACAGCACTTCATGGACACCGATTTTTTCTCGAGGGAAGCGTTGGGTCAACTCTACAAGCACTCGAAAAAATGCCAGCGACAAACGGCCTATGTACCGACCCGCGTTGACCCAGCGCGTAGCTGGCCTGCCCACCCAGGAGCCGCAGCTGACACCGATGCCCCAGCTGGAGCCGGAGCTCCCACGGAGGAGAAAGTCAGAGCTCCAACCGCCTCCATGGCA